ATATAGTAGTAGTACTAGCTTTCCCTCCCAGACCTGATCAATGATATATAGTAGTAGTACTAGTTCTCCCTCCCTGACCTGATCAATGATATATAGTAGTAGTACTAGTTCTCCCTCCCAGACCTGATCAATGATATATAGTAGTAGTACTAGCTCTCCCTCCCAGACCCGATCAATGATATATAGTAGTAGTACTAGTTCTCCCTCCCAGTCCTGATCAATGATATGTAGTAGTAGTACTAGCTCTCCCTCCCAGACCTGATCAATGATATATCGTAGTAGTACTAGCTCTCCCTCCCAGTCCTGATCAATGATATATAGCAGTAGTTCTAGCTCTCCCTCCCAGACCTGATCAATGATATATAGTAGTAGTACTAGCTCTCCCTCCCAGTCCTGATCAATGACATATAGTAGTAGTACTAGCTCTCCCTCTCAGACCTGATCAATGACATATAGTAGTAGTACTAGTTCTCCCTCCCAGACCTGATCAATGATATGTAGTAGTAGTACTAGCTCTCCCTCCCAGACCTGGACAATGATATATAGTAGTAGTACTAGCTCCCCCTCCCAGACCCGATCAATGATATATAGTAGTAGTACTAGCTCCCCCTCCCAGACCCGATCAATGATATATAGTAGTGGTACTAGCTCTCCCTCCCAGACCTGATCAATGATATATCGTAGTAGTACTAGCTCTCCCTCCCAGTCCTGATCAATGATATATAGCAGTAGGTCTAGCTCTCCCTCCCAGACCTGATCAATGATATATCGTAGTAGTACTAGCTCTCCCTCCCAGTCCTGATCAATGATATATAGCAGTAGTACTAGCTCTCCCTCCCAGACCCGATCAATGACATATAGTAGTAGTACTAGCTCTCCCTCCCAGGCCTGATCAATGATATATAGCAGTAGTTCTAGCTCTCCCTCCCAGACCTGATCAATGATATATAGTAGCAGTACTAGCTCTCCCTCCCAGTCCTGATCAATGATATATAGCAGTAGGTCTAGCTCTCCCTCCCAGACCTGATCAATGATATATCGTAGTAGTACTAGCTCTCCCTCCCAGTCCTGATCAATGATATATAGCAGTAGGTCTAGCTCTCCCTCCCAGACCTGATCAATGATATCTAGTAGTAGTACTAGCTCTCCCTCCCAGACCTGGACAATGATATATAGTAGTAGTACTAGCTCCCCCTCCCAGACCCGATCAATGATATATAGTAGTAGTACTAGCTCTGCCTCCCAGACCCGATCAATGATATATAGTAGTAGTACTAGCTCTGCCTCCCAGACCCGATCAATGATATATAGTAGCAGTACTAGCTCTCCCTCCCAGTCCTGATCAATGACATATAGTAGTAGTACTAGCTCTCCCTCCCAGACCTGATCAATGATAAATAGTAGTAATACTAAGTATACTTAAAAGCAAAGCTGTATGTCTGGTGATCACAACCAGACTCACATTTAATCATTAAAAATAACTGTTTCCCCAAGTTAATCAATATATATGATTATTCTGTATGCTCAAATTTCTCAAGAAAAACCAAATTCTCAAAATTCATTTTCCTTTTTATCATTTTTTACCTATAAGATTTCATATTCGTTGTATGTACATGAATACAGTAAAACACATTTATGCCAAACTCTGAAATTAGAGACTATAAAGACTTAAATTCCTAAATTTGATGATAAATTCTAATAAATTTCTAATGTGCTTTTTCTCCTATGATTCCCTTAGTGGAAAGTACTTCATGTCCATGGCAAATCCCAAAATGCAAATTATGGATATTTTTTGGGATATGCCACCAAAGCTAAGGTTATTTCTTCTCTTTCATTTTTGCTTTTAAAGATTGTATAGTATGTAGGATTTTATGTAAATTGTTGGATTTTTTTTGATAATCAGAAACCTCAATATGGGGGGTGGGGTGGGGAATGATCATATTATTTGAAAAATTGGCCCAATTTTAGCTCAAAATATACATCTAAATCTTTCACTGTTCTGTCAACCAGTTTACCATTACAGTGTTTGGTTCAATATGATAATATTTTTCATTTAACCCTTTCACCCTTATGTAACTTTAGTAGACTCTACCATGCATTGATATGGATGAGTCCATTATATATATGACAGTTGTGAAAGGGTTAAAATGATTTTCTATTACATTTCTGTTCATATTTGAGTAATACTATAGGATGTGCAATACGTGTACCCCAATACTAGGTATAACAAGTGATCACTACAAGTATTGTTGTAATAATTAAAACCTAAAAATTCAAGAAGCAAGCAAACGATTGTGCAGAGCATGACATCAAAGTGCTTGGTCTACTGTTACCTTTAATGGGTTTTACTAGTCAATCCAGAACAAGCAAATTGAAGGAAAACCACAATCAGACAATTAGATTTCACATTACATATGTATCATCTAAGGCCAGACAAAAACATATGCGTGTTTCCTGTAACATGTTACACAAATTTAGGGTAGGTAGGTAGGTAATACATTTTATTTTAACAAATAGTTTTATATGGTTTATATATAGGAGTGATCTTGACTTTCAAAGTGCATCTTTGAAAATTGCCTTAAAAGTTTAGGGTAGGCACAACAAATTAAGGTAGGTAGGGTTACCAGAAACAGCAAATATTATTTTTTGGCCTAAATACAGATTTGGCTACATATATATACAATTGTAGCGGAACTGGACGGAGTCGATAGTCGGCGACCAGATAGCTCAATTAGTTGAGCGTCCGTCTAGAGTTCAGAAGGTCCCGGGTTCGAACCCCGGTCTGGACGTGCATTTTTCCTCTCCTGTTACACAATCATTCACCCCTGAAGACACATTTGAACTCTTCTAATTCAAAGGTTGGAATAGTTCATTATGAAATTTCGGGGTGAATGAGTTAATAAAACATCGAAGCACTCTGACCTGGATTTTATACCCCTAAAATCATACGAGGGGGTCTCTCTAAAAGGTTGATATTTCAAATTCATCAAGTTATCAGAATAGTGATTTAATCATGCATGATCACATGGTCCATATAATGTGCATTTTGTACTTTTTCGGTGACCTTGAGTTGACCCTGACCACTTATATCCTAAAACACTCCCCTACTGTAGTATGAAGATTATTGATAAATTACTTAATAATCAACAAAGAAAAGATTTTTCTAATTCGAAATTAAAGAGAGACACACTAAAATATCTTTTTAATTCCCACTCATAATCAAAAATATGTTGTTCCCAATTTTATCAAATCACCAAGCTCAAAATCGTTCTTTCCTAAAATTAAACTATTACATATAGTCTGTTGTTGAACAATTCACCAATCTGCCACCCAGAATTGCGCGGAGTCCTGATCATAATGATACTACATCATTAAAATCATGTTCAGGTCAGGTACACATACCTTATCATATCAATATTTCATTTTATACTAGAAAACAAAACAAAAATTTAAAAAATCCGAAACACTCTCCTCGACCTCCATAAAATCTTCTGCAGGCGGGACATAAATAAATTTGTAGAAGTTGACATCATAACAACAATTATGTAAATTGAAACCAATCAGGATTTCCGTAAAAAAGTTATTTTTCGGAGGAATCTGTCGATGGACGGACAGACCTGACAGACAAAATGAGGACTGTTGCATGGGTATACATTAACTACATGTATATGGTATACATAGTACCGTACTATGTATCTGTACCGAATTAAAATATTAGTTGGCAATGAAAACTTGCATGTAATTTCTAAAGCAGATTTACATTAAATCATTAAAACTAACCGTTACCCAAGTTATTGTACATAAGCTCCAATTTCCCAAGAAAAACAAAATTCTCAAAATTCTTTTTTCCTTTTAATTGATATTTTTCCAATAGAATTGCATTATACAGTAAAACACATTGATGCCAATCCTCTAGACTGGAGATGCAAAACTAAGTTCACTAGCTATTTCTTTCCAGAATTTGATTATAAATTCTGATACATTTCCATGTCACATCCAAGATCTCAGAACAGAGTGTTAGGATGAATTGTGCTTTATTGTATTTATTCCACATCATCATTAAATCATTTTTCATTCAGTTGTTCTGTCAATAGTATTTGTTACTTTTTTAGAATCTGAATTTTGTTTTGAGAATTTTGAGGATCTTCTGCTAAATTGCACCTCTATTGTATTATCAATTTACTTTTTTTAGAATCTGAACTTTGTTTTGAGAATTTTGAGTCTCTTCTGCTAAATTGCACATCTATTGTATTATCAATTGTACGTGTAAGCTTTCCTGTCAGGAGATTTTAGTCATTCATTCACCCCTGAAGACACATTTGACCCCTAAAGACACATTTGAACTCTTCCAATTCAAAGGTTGGAATAGTTCATTATGAAATTTTGGGGGTGATATTATCAACTAATATGCTATCTGACTCTACAAGTCATCATCCTCATAATTCCAGTGGTTAAAACAATATATGCTCACTTACATTCTAGGCACCCCTGTAACATGTCATGACACAATCCAAGGTTAATTTGTACATGATATGTCACCTTGTGGATGTATTCATACATGTAGACTAGTTTGACAGGGTTAGACACTAACTTTTTTTGCTTGGTAGTCCACAGGACTAGGTAAATAGATTATTTTCTAGCCCTTCGCCAATGTAACAAGTCCAATATTTCCTGATAGGAAAGCATTGCGATCTTACAGCATGAAACATCAAAAGTAATCGACCGTAGGGGACCTAATAACTACTGCCCTGAAATATGGTGAAGTTTTTGGAAAACTTTGACAATTATTATACAATGTATCCTATTTTAAGCATTTTTCTAAAATTTGAAAAACGATATTCTTATTTTATAATCATATTTTCACAAGTGCAAAGGACCAGTTAGGCTAGGTGATTCACTAGTCCTTGCTGAAATCTAGTCCAGGACTAGCGGACTAGTGTTAGTGTCGACCCCTGTTTGACCCTCTAATGTACATTGAAAGGATCGTACAGCACCATAACAGTAAGATTGATCGGCTTTGAAATCAGGTGTCGCTCCTTTAATTTGTATTCTTCAAAGGAAATGTACATGTAGCAGCATAGCAATTGGTCAGTTTTTTTAAACAGAAACCAATCAAATTATCTGTTAGCTGTGCATGTGTGCCTTCGATTTTGTCATGGCATATCCCAAGTGTGCAGAGAACGTAATTACATGTTTGTTAGCGTAACTCCTGGAATTTTGAGGATGACAAGTCTAGTGCAACAGCCAACTCCTTTACCTACCTAACCTAAAAGCATTATGTACAGACACAGACAGGTTGTTCTCTTCATGTCTTTGACAAACTAGATTTTTACATTTCTAAACATTTTCTTCGGGTTTATTGAAGTTTGAATTGTACTGATAGAGAGGCTATGTATCACAACCAGTAAATGTTTTTGTGGGACATTTCGGTGACCAGTAGTATGATATGTACCCTGCCACCTTCATAAGCTGACAAATGACCAGTAAAGCGAAGGGTATGTACACAAAGGTGTAAAATATATACCAGACAAGTTGATAATATAATCTAAGTCAATTCCGATATGCTAGAAGCATATATGTAAACTTACTTGTAGTTGTTATAAATGTACGAAATGATGAATCAAATACCACCATGACATACGTTTATAAATATAGCAACTATAAGTATTCCTATACACTTCACTGGTCATTTGTCTGATGAAGGTGACAGGGTACAGTATGTATCGTACTATAGCTAGTCACCGAACCGGTCACACATAAACACTTAATGGTTGTGATAGATAACCCTTCTACCATAGATTTGAACATTGATTAATTAAACCTGGCACTGGACTCAATTATTACGGCAGTGATATTTCCTTACAGCTATAATTTCTAGTAATTATAAGTTTAATTTTAACTTCAAGTCAACATTTATAATTGAAATTAAAATACTCTAAAAGAATCTCACAGCACAACATCATAAGTGTGTGCATATTTACTTTTAATCCCAAGTGCTATTTTGTAAACATATATCTATAGCACTGTAGCTGTATACATTTAGCATTTTAAATCACTCAAAAGACTCATTTCCAATAGATATATATAGTGTACTGTATGCCGGAAATGTCTGCCCAGTCAAACTTTGTCCTTCACCCATGAAATTTGTGTCTGCCCAGTGTTAATTTTGCCCTGCACATATAATTAGTATATATTATGTTGTTTACTTTTATTCACTGTAACGATTACCTGGTCGTTTTTATTAGTTCAGATGGTGGAAAGGGCAATCAATAATTGAACTGCAGCAAAAATTTACCGATATACAGTCGTTCCAGGTACAGACTTGAAAAAAATCTAAGATCAAACATTCTGCTTATAATATATATATCCCCTTATATATCATGTAGCCATTAGCATTCACAATCAGTATAAATGAATATACATTAAAATCTACTACTACTATAAGAAATTCATGCAGGTTTCTATTTTGATATAGAAAGAACATTGTTTCTTTTTAAAATAAATTGAAATGATTTTTATTTTTTTTAAAAGAGTAAATTTTTAAAAATGTGACATTATCCTGAATCAATTAAGTGATTTTTATCCTAACATGCTTTATCTAAATTTCATTCTACAATACTCATTCATAACGGTGGGGCTATTTTGCTCCCTAAATATAATTTTGAACTCAATGTCAAACTGACTTATAAATAAGTTATAACTTCCATAATGGTTCTTTTTAGTTTTAAACATATTTTATTGATAACATATTGACAAAGGGATTATATTTAGTCGGTAAGTTTTTCCAACTTATCAATTGACTTCTCCCAGTTCTTTGAATATGAAAGGAAGGCAACATTCATACAAGGGGAGATAATCTGATAGCCCTCACCCTCGGTAAAAATCTTCGATTTATGCAACCTGTCTGTAGAAAGTTTGTGTAATACGCTGTAGATTTTGAGTTATCTCCCTAAGCCCAGCAACATCTACAATCCTTTTATCTAATAACAAGGGAGGTAACTGTTGCTTGAGTAAGGGAGTGTTTATCCTGCATACCTGGTCCTTGAGGGCGTGTTAGCGCCAGTTTGCCGGCTCCTGAGGCATTAAATGAAAATACAAATACATGATAAAAAAATCCTATTTCTGGAAATTTTAAACCACTTATATATTAATTTTGAGAAGTTTTTCAAATAAAAAAGAATATAATGTAACCTAGCTGCAGAGCAAATTCAAACAAATCATTATAAATTATTCAACATGCAAACATTTTTTTTACTTCATATGAATACATTTTCATTATAATTTTGCCATCATTAATATACATGTAATGTATTGATGCATTGTATTTCTTAATTACATGTAAGGCAGTCAGAATCTGTAAAACTTGCTTAACCCTTTCACCCCTATGCAACTTCAGTAGACTCTACCATGCATTGATATGTGTCCATTATGGTCTACAGTGGTGAAAGGGTTAAAATGCTTTAATATGTAAATAAAGAAAAAAAATCTAAAATATTCATGCAGACTTGCATTCAATGTGACATCAGACATCTAAAAGGATATTATGTATGTATCATACACAAAGATATTTAAGTCTTTTAGATGATACTTTTAATTACTTTATAAATATAATATAAAATCAAATTTTAGTATATATCTGGAAAATTCCAAAATACACCATATGAACATCTATGACAGACAATTTTCCATGTGCAACATTCTAAAAATAATGAAAAAAACATTTGTTTTATTTGAATTATTTTTTACAGATACCGTATTTTAAAATGTTTATTGATTTGTATAGTAGGTATAGAATATGAATTGGTAATGAAAAATTGGTTTTTCAATGACAGCTATATGACAATTTCTATTGATTTTGTTATGATAAACCTGTGGTAAAGATGCTTCTTGCTTAAATTTGAATAAATGTATCCTGAAATTAGTTTATGAAAAAAAATGATAATATTTTTAATAAAGTTCTAACAATCAGGGTGTTTGCCAGCTATTTTGGGAAAGGGCCCCTGAGAAGAAATTGGGAAAATATTATCAGCATTTGGCAAAAATTGGGAAATATCACCATCAAAATAAAACCTGCAATATGATCAGCAATTTGTTTTCCTCTAGCTGTTTCTTAGAGTAAAATGCACTGCAATAAATAAACACATCAAATTTTCGGTGTTTTTGTTTATTCAATTAAAAAATTTCATTATTTATGTATTTTGGATGCTCCTTCATGGACGATAATACTTTGAATGTTGCACAAATAATGACTGGAAACTTGTATCAGGGATTAATACGTATACAGGAATAGAAAGTTAGTAGCCTTGTTTGAAATAGGGGAAAATATGCGTTGTAGGTGCATGACCCGTCCAGCGAAGGCTGTAGGCCCGAGCCAGGGGGAGAGTACGAGAGGAGGGCATGAATTACATCTTTAATTTTGTTTCTCGCTGTTCATTATAATTTATAAAATATCAGCAGCAACAATTGATATCAACACAGGGAAAATGAAATAAATCACTCAGTTGTGGAACTGATGGAAAATTAAAAGAAAAATGGAACTAAGACATATATTCATTTACTAGTATATTAGTTACAAATCGGTTAATTGTTAAACTGAAACATGGGAAAATAATATAAGGGCAAAATTGGAGAGGGGAACTGGCCCATATTCGGCCTTAAAAAAAGGCCTGTATATATCCATGTGTATAAACATGATTTTTAATCCAATTGGGAAAATAAAGACTGAAATTAGGAAAATGCAGGGTCATTTTTCAATTGGGAATGGGTCCATACATGTACTAGACCCGATAAACACCTGGCAAAACCCCTGACAATATAATATAATTTTAAAACAAGGATTTTATGTTTGTACCTGCTGGGTTTACTCTTGGTGTAGGGGAGTATGTGCTCGCCACTTCCTCACCGTCAGGGATTTCTAGGGCTTCGTCGTATGGTTGGTTTTGTATTACTCTGCCCTGTAACAGAGGATGGAAAATATCACAGTCAAACCTGTAGAGGAATTGCACATTAGAAAAGAATCTTGATAAGACGTCTATGAGTACAAAAAAGTCAAAGCTACTTGAAGAAACAGTGCATTGTGTAGTTTTATAAAAATAAATAAATTTGTAATTGTTTATTTTTCGACGATTTTTTTATAATACATATAATTATGAAAAGCAACACACACAATCTTACAGAACATACATGCTAGCACCAGATATCTTCATAAGCTACGCATGCACAGGTCAGGTACATTATACAACCATCATAGTCTGCATATTTATAAACATTTACTCATTCACCTACCCCTAGATGCTATGCACTATCTAAGAAGTATCGTTCAAACTTCCAAGCCTATATACCATAGTACATATGTATCACAGTTCACCAACATACACACACACACATCACGATGTGTACGTGATCATTTGGTCACCATCGTGCACTAATATTTCTACATTGTGGACACCTATACATGTAACTGCACTGTATACATGTTCGATAATAGCCATTTAGTTTATAATTCATAGATCTATGCAGGTTTAACTCATTCACCCCTGAAATTTCATAATGAACTATTCCAACCTTTTAATTTAAAGAGTTCAAATGTGTCCATCGGGGGTACCGTTGAGCGAGTTAATTGTGTATAAGATTAATCTAATGATCAAATACATTATTCTTATGATCTGGGTCTTTTTATCCCAAATCATGTTCACACTAATGAGTTGTTTCGGCATAAATCTAATTCCTCCAATGTTGTTTACCTCTAATATCAATATTTATCTTTAAGTTATATTCAGTTTAAATGTTTTTAGTGACTAAAAAAATACTCTTTTCACGTCTCACAAACCATTGTGTTGTCAGAAGAATTTCAGGTGTAACAAATGTAAGTTAGATGCAGATTTGGTCAACCATGTATGAATCTAATATGTCTATTAACAAAATAAGACTAAGAAAGACCGGAGGAAAATTTTAAATGATACTGTATTAGCCATACACAAGTTAACTAAACAAACAGGCCTTAACAAAGTTTCTTCATAAGGCCAGACAGAAAAATACATGTGTTTCCTGTGTTGGAAAAATTTAGGGTCGGTAGGTAAAAAAATAATAATTTCATATGGTTTATAAAGGAGAGTGATCTTGACTTTAACAGTGCTTCTTTGAAAATTGCCTTAAAAAAAAGGCAGAAAAAAATAGGGTACATTGTAGGTAGGGTAACCAGAAACACAAAATATTTTAAGTTAAGTTTATTCCAGTTCAGGATTTGAACAATCCTCTTCACCGGACTCAAAATCATACAGTACATAATAATACTAATGATGTAAAAAAAATATACAATGTGATATAAATAATACAGACAGTAAAGTTTCGTTAAATTTTCATTAAGTTCATATTAAAACTTGTAATTATAAATCAGTTCTTGGTTTTCCCAAAACTTGTCAAGTCTATTTTTAAAACAGTTTGTGTTTGGAGCAGATATCACAGATTCTGGTAGATTGTTCCATATGCCTGCTGCTCTCATAGTGAAAGAGTTCCTTCTTAATGATGAGTTTGCCCTTTGTGGAAAGTTTTGGAATGTCCTCTTTCATTGTGTTTGATGGCCACATCTGACCATAATTTTACAGAAGTGCAGCATCCCCTTGTCGCATATGCTACTGATCATCTTATATACTTCAATCATGTCTCCCATACGCACAAAATATTCTTATTTTTCATTTTGTTTGGCCTGAAATATTTTTATGGCAAATCAAACTAACGTGAAACAATCGAGGGTGAAAGGTGAATCGACCCGACATCTCAATAACTGTTTTTGTAGTATTTGTTGTATTGGTCTAGCTTGTGGTAGAACTAGTACTGGACCGGGTCAATTAGTAGATTACTAATTATTAAATTGTGTTATAACCAATCATTTAATAAGTAAATTCTGACGCTAAATTGAGTATTTTAAGCTATTGGAAGTTCGTGAAAAATCCCTAAAACAGGTGCCGGATGAGTTTGTTGACATTAGTAACGCACGATAAAAATGAGATATGAATCATCAAGCCTATTAAAATATGTTCAGCAGAAAGTTGGCTTCTTAGGTCTTGCAATATAGTTCATGACCGACAATTAAAAAAGAACACAACCATATTTGTGTATACCTTTGCTCGTTCCTCGTCCGAATCGTCCGCCATCGGGCCTTGGAATGTCGTTAGTACGAACTGTATTGTGGGTAATTTTTTAAGTAGAGCTAAACATTTATTTTCGATTATACATAAATCATGAAGAATGTTTGCATATATATTACGCAGAGGTTCAAGTTACATAATGGAACTATAAAAAAGACATATGTATGTAAATAAATCTTCCAAATTGATTTATTCTTAATTAACTTCGAAACTAAAACTTCCTCCAGGACAGCGCGAGCGACAATGAAAGATGTATGGTAAATCAATGAGGATCTCACCAGCACGAAGTGTCCGTCGTTTACAGGCATTTAGCTTCGGTAAATGTCCTCGAAATCAAAACATTTTCGGATAGTATGCTCAAACTACTCGAAAATATTGACGGCAGGGACGATTCATTCAACAACCATGATGGGAACAGTGACTCTATAAGCGGAAATAATCAGCATATCCCTATTTCCAACCGCGACAGTAACGTGAATCGCGATAATAAACAAAATTATGTCAATGGACAAAACAACAACAATGACGAGGACGTAGCAGCAGTAACCGTGACCAGTGCTCGAAACACGTTTTTCCGGCGGTCCCCACAGCCGACGTTAAAGTAAGCACCGATTATTTGTTTTCATAATCAGCTGTTTTGTGTGTTGATTGTTGATACGTCAGATTGTATGTATACGTATATGTACACACTAATAGAAGCTTGCTTATCGCATGTGTCTTTATCACGGACTTAGATAACATCTTATTCTCCTTTAAAAAAAGTTGATGGGTTGAGCTAGCAAATTAGTTTTAAAAAGACATTTCTACCTTAAGATTTTATTTTTATTTGCTAGATTGCTGCTATATATATATGTTACTCTTGAGGTGAAGACAAAATTCAGTTATCAAAGATCAAAATTGAATTTTTGATTTAAATTTTGAGATGGAACATATCACTCTATCTAAATGTCCTTAATGTATTTTGTGAATAGTTTTCATTTTGAATTACACAGAAAATTCCTGAGGAGCCGTCACAGCCGTTGGAAAACAAAATGATGATAAATATATATATGTTACTTAATTGTGAATAATGTTTCAAAAAGCTAAAAATCATTCCATAAGATGAAAATAAAACATATATATGGCAGGGATATTGTAATATTTTATTACCTGGTCATTTATTATTAACACACCTCAGAATAAGATGTTGGTACTTTTTTTGTAAAGGCGAAAAATGTTGAATAATATGAAAATATAATTCAGCAACACACAGGACACAAAAAACAAACGAAGTACAGATTTTAAACTTTATTCCATTTAAATGCCGTAAATCTTCGTAGGTACCGAAATGATGTTACGAATAAGTACCAAAACATATCCCGCTGCCCACCCCGCGATACTGAAAAGACTAAGCACCGAAATGCCTGCCAGTACTCCCAATAATGCACAATCTAATTAAAAATTGACTTGTAATTCTGCTACTCTACGGTGCTCTATGATACACTCGAGCTCCAATACAAGATCAAGCAATGCCCTGTTTGGGTTTATTTCAGCATGACCTTTGATCTTGGCCAAACAGCACATCGCCTTGCAAATCATCGGTGCATTTTCATTCTGCCAGCACTGTAAAAGATTATTGAAAGGTACCAAGATATTCCGGGCGTGATTACAAAATAGGACTGTGCCCATGCGAACCACACCAAGAACGCCTCAAAAAGTTTCTGTAAGCGTAATTTACATCATTTTAATGACCTTTATGTGCTGCTGTTAAACCTTTTATTGCATTTGCTCTGTCAATCTGGTCTTTCATCAAAGAAACAAGGGACAGTACAGGAGGACAACCCTGTTACTTCCCATCTCCCATAGAACCAACGGAAATAACTGATACGGCAATGATTTACTGAACCCAATTTCCCCTATCGTCTGCATGATTAGGCTGTGTCAACTATTGGTAGAAATTTCTTAAGTTGACATATTAAACACTTCACAAACCTGGATATATGGGTTGATCGAGCTATGGCACTTTCATAAGGTAAAATACCTGCAGTCTATATATATATATATATATAATAGTGAAGAGCAGACTGAAAAAGAACCTTCATGGATGGGTGATTATAATAAACTTTTAATCAAGTATCACAACACAAAAACTGCACAGTCGATCGTGGACTAGCTTACTTGGTCTTTATAAAAGTATTAACGTTTAATCGGCTGATTGATATATATAGTTATCAGTGTATTCAGGGTCTAACTGTAATGTTATAATGTAGAATCACTTAAGACTGATAAGACTGTTTCAGGGTCTTTGTTTATATTATGTGTCGTCTTATCTTATCAGAGTTTGTAATCGTCTTTGTGGGTTAGATATACAGAATGTAGATTTAGTAATGTCAGTATGTATATGTTGACTAAGATGCCCCGAGAGGTTCAGGTAATATCTACTCCTATAACATGAGAGGCCGCTTGTCGGCCTTTTTTCTATCGGATATGATTTTGCCGACTACGCGGCACCTGTCAAAAGTTTTTCGCCGTGTAAAACCTCTAATATTGTTAGAGTAAGGTAATATCCTGCGCAGGTTCGTGAACCCTTATACTTATCTTAGGAAAATGATCTGCATCTTCTTTAAATAAATGTATGTCCTTGAGTTTTGGGACAGATGTTTGCGTCCAGGACTAATAGTTTTTCTGTTAGACTTTACCCAATTTTAAGAATGAAATATAACTCACTATATATATATATATATATTTCTGACTTCATATAGGGGCTCTGCATTTTGAATATGACGTTTCTTAGGGTTGCAATGATATACGTTTACATGACGATAAGATTATACGTATCACGATATTATGGTCAGATACGATATATATAGTAACAGTAGAAGCAAAGCGAAAAGATATGTTGCAAATAATTTTAATGGCAATATTACAACAGGAAATAGATTTGGTCCAAAATAGGCATGACTTTAAAGTTTCACACAATTCACATCTTTCAAAGTGCGCGCTGAGCTGGAGCTGTTACTAGCCATGTTGAAATGGATATACATGTAAGTATCTATACTGAATTCAGAAACGATAAAATCTGGAAAATATAGGTGTATCGTGACCTGCAAAAAATATTGTGTTTATCGTACCATATTCAAAATATCACGATATATTGTTGCAACCCTATATGTTTATGAAAATAGATTGGTTTGGTTTGTTTATGATGCACTTAACGTGGCCTCTAAACAACGATGGTCATTTAAAGGTCATGGAAATCAGATTTTGGTTTTTGAATTATATACACTGTTATGCATCCATGGCCATGAATTCTTCGTTTTGTGGTATTATACCTAGCTATATGTGTTAGTAATCGCTGGGGCAAGATATAAAATCAATTTGACACATAGCACTTGATTAAGCTTTACAGAATGTAAACTAGATTATCTACATCTATATCATCTATATATATATACAGGTGTTCGGTGAAGTTCAAACCCACACGTACATGATATTATGAAACCATGCTTAATATATATATCACACCACTGTCATACGATCAGACACAATCTCTGTTTACATAATTCCTGATCTATAAAATTGCTAGTGTTGGTCCTCTTGAAGTATATTGTCATTTGATAAGTGTCTAACGATACAGGTGAAGAGGACTTTTCCACCTTCGTTACTCATGTATTTACGCTGTTTTACATGAGTAGCAGAATTAAATAGTGTTGGCAAGATAAATTTAGTATGCAGGGACTAATATGTGCTTCATATAAGATTTGTGTTGGTCTGTCTGTACACCGATATATATATTGTACTCTGTGTATATCAAGCCTTGCCACCTATATAAACATAAATTCATGTATTTAGAAAAATGAAAAAATAAATGATGGGTGTCTGACGTGTGATTGGAGAACACATTGTCGCCTTTATTTAACTACATGTTAGATCTGGAAAATGAATTCACGTACATCTATACGTGCATATGTGTATGCCTGGATCTCTACAGAAATTCTCTAGAGAATGAAATTTACTAATGCCGCTTCATTGATTTCCAGGCTGGGGTGAGTACTTTTGTTTTAAACTGTCTATTCATAAATAGTTGTATTAGATATATATTTTGTATTGTAATATTTGTTCTGGCCATAGTTGTGGGGCCAGGGTGGCCAATCAAGTGGTAAAGAGAATGACAGGTACCCAGGTGTATGTATCTCTAGAGAATGACAGGTACCCACGTGTCTACATCTCTAGAGAATGACAGGTACCCAGGTGTACATGTCTACGTACATCTCTAGAGAATGACAGGTACCCACATGTCTACATCTCTAGAGAATGACAGGTACCCACATGTCTACATCTCTAGAGAATGACAGGTACCCACATGTCTACATCTCTAGAGAATGACAGGTACCCAGGTGTATGTATTTCTAAATAATGGCACAGGAACCCAGGTGTATGTATCTCTAGAGAATGACAGGTACCCAGGTGTCTTCATCTCTAGAGAATGACAGGTACCCACGTGTACATGTCTACGTTCATCTCTAGAGAATGACAGGTACCCAGGTGTACATGTCTATTTACATCTCTAGAGAATGACAGGTACCCACGTGTCTACATCTCTAGAGAATGACAGGAACCCAGGAGTACATGTCTACGTACATCTCTAGAGAATGACAGGTACCCACATGTCTACATCTCTAGAGAATGACAGGTACCCACATGTCTACATCTCTAGAGAATGACAGGTACCCACATGTCTACATCTCTAGAGAATGACAGGTACCCAGGGGTACATGTCTACGTACATCTCTAGAGAATAACAGGTACCCAGGTGTACATGTCTACGTACATCTCTTGAGAATGACAGGTACCCAGGTGTACATGTCTACGTTCATCTCTAGAGAATGACAGGTACCCAGGTGTACATGTCTATGTACATCTCTAGAGAATGACAGGTACCCACGTGTACATGTCTATGTACATCTCTAGATAATGACAGGTACCCAGGTGTACATGTCTACGTACATCTCTAAGGAATGACAGGTACCCACGTGTCTACATCTCTAGAGAATGACAGGTACCCAGGGGTACATGTCTACGTACATCTCTAGAGAATGACAGGTACCCAGGTGTACATGTCTACGGACATCTCTAGAGAATGACAGGTACCCACATGTCTACATCTCTAGAGAATGACATGTATTAAGGTGTCTATATATCTAGAGAATGACAGGTACCACGCACAGTGTATAAATCTCTAGAGAATGTTTGGGACCCTTCAGGTCTCTAGAGAATATGTGTGTCTACATCTCTAGAGAATGACAGTTACCAAGGTGTATACATATCTAGAGAATAACAGTTACCAAGGTGTTTATATCTCGAGAGAATGTCAGGTACCCAGGTGCTTATATCTCGAGTGAATGACAGATACCAAGGTGTTTATATCTCGAGTGAATGACAGTTACCAAGGTGTTTATATCTCGAGTGATTGACAGTTACCAAGGTGTTTATATCTCGAGTGAATGACAGATACCAAGGTGTTTATATCTCGAGTGAATGACAGATACCAATGTGTTTATATCTCGAGAGAATGACAGGTACCCAGGTGTCTACATATCTAGAGAATGGCAGGGAGTCGGG